CGGCATCGAGGAAGAGAGTGAGAGAGAGAGAGAGAGGAGAGAGCCTAAGGCGGGCATATGCAGATCCATGTACCCTGCACGTGTATACATTATACATGCACGCATGTACGCACCCTGTTTGCCAAAGGTCAAACACTTGTGCTTAGCGTCTCGCGGCGACGGCCCCGGAGACACGCTATGCCATGCGAGCTGATAACGTTTCGCTCTACTCCGCGGGGCAGGAGGCGGGACAAGTCTCGGGACGTTGACGCTCGGGGACAAGAACCTGATTCGCGTGTCGCGCCGAAGCGTAGTGGATCAGAACTGGCGGAGCGACAAGCTGAGCGAACGTCCCTGACCGTGTACAATACCAGAACAACGCGCGCTTCGCGCGCTTATGTTCTGGCCAAAGACAGCGTCACATCAATCAGCGAAAGGGTGCGCACGCCATCCCACCATCATCACCACGTGGGAACACCTGTGCTATCTCGGATATACGTATCCAACTAGCGTACCCCCACCTATGCCGGCACATCATTCACGCGGATCGTGCCCGCAAGGAGCTCCATCTATGGCCCCCGACCCATCCTCGGCACACCTCTCACAGAGATCGTGCCCCACAGGGAACTCCTGTGGCAGCTGCAATTGGAGGGGAACTTTGCATAGCGTCGCCCCCCATACACGTCGGCAAACCTTCCACGCGGTTCGCGCCCTGCAGGGAGATCCACCGACGGCCCCAGAGACAAGGTTCACATCCCCCCCCCCCTGCCTACTTCGGCACACCTCTCACACTGATTGTGCCCCGCAGGAAGCTCCACCGACAGCCCCAGAGGCAAGGTTCGCACAGCGCCCCCCCCCCCGCCCATTGCCGCGCTCCCCTCGCGCGGAACGTGCCCCACAGGGAGCGCCACCCACAACCCCTGGACTCAGGGTTCGCAGATCGCCCCCCCGCCCATGCCAGCACACCATTCGCGCGAATCGTGCCCTGGAACGAACTCCACCTGCGGTGCCAAGGAGCAACTTCGCACGGCGCCCCCTCCCCCCAGGAGGAGGGGGAGGAGGGGGAGGAGGAGGGGGGGGAGGAGGAGGAGGAGGAGGAGGAGGAGGAGGAGGAGGAGGAGGAGGAGGAGGAGGGGGAGGAGGAGGAGGGAGGAGGAGGAGGAGGAGGGGAGGGGGAGGAGGAGGAGGAGGAGGAGGAGCAGGCCCATTTTGGCACACGCCTCACACGGGTCGTGCCCCGCGAGGAGCTCCAGATGCACGGGGAGTCTCTAAGGTGCGCGCGCAAAAGACTTGCATAGCAAACGTGATACGCCTGCGTGCGATATGCGAATGCCCTTAGATGGAAAATCTCTGGGGTTGCCACGACAACCGAAGCTGGGCGGACGCTCCGAAATCGTCCAGGAGCGGCGCGGGCCGCGCGAATTCGACGCGGCTGGACAGCGCTGCCTTTGTCGGAAAGACTCTGGCGGCCGTGCGCTCCGACGACCTCACGCCGCTGGCAAGATCCAGTGGCGTTTCAGAGCGAGGGCCTCGATCTCCCGCGTCTCCGTGGCCATGCGCCCATCGAACTTCTGCAAGGATTTGAGCACGGACGGAGGCGGGCCATTCTGCAGGACCTCCCTTGGCGGCGGCCGAAGTAAGAGCATATCGTCCATGCAAGTGGCTCTGCTGAGCATCGCGTACAAGTGCAGCCACCAGTTCTCCGCTCTCTCCCCTGGTCTGCCAATGCTCGTGTCCTGCGCGCAGTCGATGGTCACTCCGGTGCGGATCGTCTGACCCTGTGACGCGGTGGACGTCAGGAAACGCCCGTGCGTGAGCGCGTACCCGAACCTCTTGACCCGGTGCACAACTTTGGCGCTCTGCCACTTGAAGTGCGCCTCCATGAGTGGGAAGCAGAACAGGCCGTTCGCCTTCTCTTTCTGGATTCCGAAGGAATTGACGAGGGATTCCACCACGTCCGGGCTATGCTTCTCGAAGTTGTGCACCTGCATCCAGATTCCGGCAGGCAGACAGCGCGGGCGGAAGATCTCTCCCGGAGCGTAGTCGTCGTACCTGTCCTCGTCGTTGCTTTCGAGCACGAAGCTCACGATGGTGGCCTTCTGCTCCTGGATCAAGCTCTTGCGCTTGGATAGGCATGTATGCTATGCCCAGGACGACCGTCACGGATAGCGGCCGCGGTGAGAGACCAGCCCCTGCGCACCCCCTCTGGTGTCGAGAATATGCCATGCCTGCTGTGCCCTGGACGACCGTCACGGATAGCGGCCGCGGTGAGAGACCACCCCCTGCGCACCCCCTCTGGTGTCGAGAATATGCCATGCCTGCTGTGCCCTGGACGACCGTCACGGATAGCGGCCGCGGTGAGAGACCACCCCCTGCGCACCCCCTATGGTGTCGAGAATATGCCATGCCTGCTGTGCCCTGGACGACCGTCACGGATAGCGGCCGCGGTGAGAGACCACCCCCTGCGCACCCCCTGTGGTGTCGAGAATATGCCATGCCTGCTGTGCCCTGGACGACCGTCACGGATAGCGGCCGCGGTGAGAGACCACCCCCTGCGCACCCCCTCTGGTGTCGAGAATATGCCATGCCTGCTGTGCCTTGGACGACCGTCACGGATAGCGGCCGCGGTGAGAGACCACCCCCTGCGCACCCCCTATGGTGTCGAGAATATGCCATGGCTGCTGTGCCCTGGACGACCGTCACGGATAGCGGCCGCGGTGAGAGACCACCCACTGCGCACCCCCTCTGGTATCGAGAAAATGCCACGCCTGCCACGCTCTCCGACCCTGGCACCCATAGAGGCCGCGCTGAGAGACCACCCCCTGCGCACCCCCTCTGGTGTCGAGGAAATACCCAGTATGGTGTGCATGCGTCTTGAATGTATGATGCAGTGAACGCGCCACGCGTGTCTCACTCGCGTGCCCTGCGGCTGTATGTTGAGAAAGTGCAACGCCTGTTCTGCGCCATGGCCCGCATAGAGCCTCCTGCCATGCACTGCGAATCCTACGTGCACGTCTGTGATGGGGGGTACCTCATGTGGGTGCCCAGTATGTTGTGCATGCGTGTTGAATGTATGATGCAGTGAACGCGCCACGCGTGTCTCACAAGTGTCTCATGTACGTGCCGTGGATGTGTTGCGCGTAGGTGGATGGAGGAAGCAAGCGGAGGAGGGGAGGAGGGAGGAGGGGTCGGGCCCCCCCTGGGCGCGGCATGGGCGATATCGGGGGTCGATGCGTGCCCCCCTGAGCCTGTTCCCCCCCCTGACGTTGCCCCTGAGGTCGTCGCACCCCACCGGGGAAGTACAATTGAGTCGGGCGTGCCCCCCTACAGGGGGATTCTCGACGGAAAATGAAAAATACTCAAAAATCGCTCCAGAACGGCCAACAACAATTCAAAACATAATCCCCAGACTATTTCTTAAAAATATGTCTTTGATGAATATTCCCTCTGTAAGGGACAGGCCCGACTTAACCCTGAGGTCGTCGCACCCCACCGGAGAAGTACAAGTGGAAGAGGAAACATGAGCACGAGGACCACCACCCCTTCCCGGTCTGCAGCTGCTTCAAGAATCAGTGCGAGAGGATGAACTGGACGCCAACACTGCTGGAAGAGCGCGCTGGCTGGCGGGGCTGGTTGCGCACAGCGGGGCCGTCGTTCGACAGAACGTAAGAGCGGAAACAATGATAATTCGCCGGCCCAACTGGCCGAAGGCATGCTAGAATCTCTAGTAGCAGGTTCAGGTGTTTGTATATTGCTGCGCAGGCAAGTTCCAGCAAATTCGGTTCAGAGATGGCGGAACTCCCGGGCATGGGCTTCAGGACCCCGATCAAAGCCTCAGAAGCGCCCCAACGGAGCTCCAGGCTGGCGCCAGAGGTCTCAGGACGGGCCAATAACTCTCCAAGACGGTCCATGATGACCTCAAGACGGTCCAAGGTGCCCCCAAGACGGCCTAAGAAGGTCCCCAAGAGGGCCCCAAGCTACCAACAACTAGGCTTGTTTTTGAACGACTCTAGCGTTCTCGCTGGTCCAGGCTAGCTGGTGCAAGATGCCCCCGCCAAGACGGCCCCGGAAATCCCGAAAAGAGCCCCAAAACGGCTGGCCAAGGACGGCCCCAAGACGGCCCAAGAACACCCCCAAAGACTGCCCAAGAGGCGCCGAATAAGGCCTTCAAGACTACCAGCAAGCCCGCAAGAGCCCAAGAAACCCCCAACTGTCCCCAAGAGGCACTAATCAACCTTCAAAAAGCCAAGAGGCCACCAGAGAGGCCCCAAGGAGCCACTGGGAGGCCCAAAATTAAGCGTCCAAGAGGCCCCTGAAAGGAATCCCAAGAGAACCCGAGAGGCATCCCCAACGCCCCTCACCCAGGACCTAAGCACGGTTGCGGGATGCACTGACAGAGCTGCGGTGGGGGCGTGCTTTGTTGAGCGCTTCCTTGCACTGTCGTGCCACTGCTTTTTTCTCCAAGCCAGGTCCACACGGCAGCTCCGGCAAACGGCCACCGCCCACCACCTCCTCAGCCCCCGCGAGCACACAGACAAGTGCCAGCGATTATGCAGCATGGGCCAGCGGAAAGCTTATCATCCCTCGGACGTCCATTCCTCGTGCAGTGTCGGCCTCGTGCGTGCTTTTTTCTGCCAGATAATCCAGGGTGCTGCTCGATGGTCCGCGCCGAGAAAGACTGCACACGTCAGAGCGGTGCCAAGAAAGAGAGAGAGAGAGAAGCGACTGGATGGCAGCAGCAATGGCGCGACGAGATCTGTACACGTCCCACTTCTCCTGGGCAGGCCAGGAGCCGTGGACATGTACAGACCTCGCCGCCCGGAACAAGGCCTCGCCATCGCTCGGACATCCATTCCCCGTGCATGTGTCGCTCTCGTGCGTGTTTTTTTGCAGTATCATAGAGGATGCTCCTCGCTCAACCTCGCCGAGAACACATGCACACGTCCGAGCGATGCCAAGAGACAGCGGAGCGACAGCTAAGAGAGCAGCATGCGTGTAACAGGCGGCGGGTGCAGGCAGACCAGCTCTCCGCCCACCACTGCGGCCTGGGCGCGCATGCGCGGCGGTTCTTCTCGGAGGGAGCGCATGATACCGCCAAGCCGACTCATCATAATCTCAGTCCTAGAATCTAGAAGTACATAATGATGCTGCTTTTCACCGAGCCCCTTCGGCGTATGGCGGCACACTTCCTGGTTGCCCCCGCTTGAACTGGAAAGCTCAGGCAGTAACACGCGCGACCAAAGCCGAACGACTGCCAGGCACGAGCTCAACCCATCCTCCTCATCGTGGTCGGCACCATCACGATCGCCACCGTCCTCGCCATCGCTGCCATCATCGACATGACTTCTCTCTTACAGAGCCGGGAAACTGTACCCCACTCCCGCTCGGAGATGGAAGGCGGAGGCGGGCAGCCGAGGGCAGCGGCGCCCTCGGCCACCAGGGCGAGCGAGGAGGCCGTCGTCCGAGAGGGCGGGGAGGCATCGGGCGAGAGCCCTCGGGAGGAGGAGGAGGAGGTGGAGGAGGAGGAGGAGGTGCTCGAGAGGGAGGAGGAGGAGGAGGAGGAGGAGGAGGAGGAGGAGGAGGAGGAGGAGGAGGAGGGGGAGGAGGAGGAGGAGGAGGAGGAGGGGGGGGAAGATGAGGAGGAGGAGGAGGAGGAGGAGGAGGAGGAGGCGGAGGAGGCGGAGGAGGAGGAGGAGGAGGAGGAGGAGCGGGCCGCCAAGGGCCGCCGAGGGCCCCCCGAAGGAGGGCCGCTGCCCGAGGGCGGCCGCGCGCCTCCCCGACCTGGGGTCGATCTGCAGGGCGCGCATGCGCGCCGCCATGAAGAGGATGCAGAGCATGGGCGCCTGCGGCGGCTCGGGCCCTCCCTACTACCCTCGTCAAAATCAACCTCAACAGTTGCTGGCACGTCATTTCGATTTCGGCGCGCCCCTCAATGTCGACACGCCGCCCCTTCAATGTCGGGGCGAGGGGCAAAGATAGTCTGACCGAAAGTGACTCGAAAGTTTGCCGTCGACCGACATTGGAGGGGCGGCGCATGCAAATACCCTGCACTCATCGATACTCGGCCCCAGATCTTCCGACAAGCAGTTCAACCACGTCAGACATTTTTGAGGTTAATTCTCTTGCACAGGGTGTCTAGAGCTCCGACCGTTTTATTTTTCGCGACGCACCCCTCCCCCAGTGGGACCTCTGCCCACAGCGCCCCCCAGTGGGACCTCCCCAGCGCCCCCCAGTGGTCCCCAGCGCCCCCCAGTGGGACCTCTGCCCACAGCGCCCCCCAGTGGGACCTCCCCAGCGCCTCCCAGTGGTCCCCAGCGCCCCCCAGTGGGACCTCTGCCCAATGCCTCCTCCGCGCCCAGTGCCCCCCCTCCGCCCCGACGATTTTATTTTTCGCGACGCACTCCTCCCCCCCCAGACCTCCCCAGCGCCCCCCAGTGGTCCCCAGCGCCCCCCCCAGTGGGGCCTCCCCAGCCGCGCCCAATGCCCCCCCTCCGCCCCGACGGTTTAATTTTTCGCGACGCACCCCTCCCCCCCCCCCCCCCCCCCAGTGGGACCTCCCCAGCGCCCACCCAGTGGTCCCCAGCGCCCCCCAGTCGGGCCTCCCCAGCCGCGCCCAGTGCCCCCTCCGCCCCGACGATTTTATTTTTCGCGACGCGCCCCCCCCCCCCCCCCCCCCCCCCCCCCCCCCCCCCCCCCCCCCCGCCCCCCCCCATGGGACCTCCCCAGCGCTCCCCAGTGGCCCCCAGCGCCCCCCAGTGGCCTCCCCAGCCGCGCCCACTGCCCCCTCCGCCCCGACGATTTTATTTTTCGCGCGACGCACCCCTCCCCCCCCCCCCCCCCCCCCAGTGGGACCCCCCCAGCGCCCCCCAGTGGCCCCAGCGCCCCCCAGTGGGGCCTCCTCCCCAGCCGCGCCCAGTGCCCCCCCTCCGCCCCGACGGTTTAATTTTTCGCGACGCACCCCTCCCCCCCCCAGTGGGACCTCCCCAACGCCACCCAGTGGTCCCCAGCGCCCCCCAGTCGGGCTTCCCCAGCCGCACCCAAGTGCCCCCTCCGCCCCGACGACTTTATTCCCCACATCCTAAGTGGGGTCCTTGTTTTCTCTGCACACCCTCCGCGCAGGATCTCTCGTCCTCCTCCCTCTCCTCTGCTCCTCTTTGCTTCCTCCTCCGCATCATCATCACCACCACCATCACTCCCCACTCGTCATCATCATCACCATCAGCATCACCATCACCATTGCACGATCACTCACCATCATCGGCATCGAGCGATCATCATCATCATCATCATCATCATCATCATCACTACTCGCTGGCTCACCACTTCGTCCCCATCATCATCACCACCATTTACCATCAGAGTCGCACGATCACTCACCATCAGCACTCATCACCACCACCATCATCATCATCATCACGTCGTCATCATCACCACCACCACCACCACCACCATCATCATCATCATCATCATCATCATCATCATCATCAACCGTATACCATCATCAAACACCATCGTCATCATCCCATCACCATCATCCACCAAGAGGGAGCATCGTCTGTGAGTGACTTGTGAGGAAGTCTCAGGCGGGAGCCCCCTCCCTATGGGGCCCGCAGATCATGTGACTAATCCGAGCGGGTTATCGGATTCCTCAAGTCTGAATTTGGAGGAAATATCAAGCGGGAGCATCGTCTGTGAGTGAATTGCGAACAAGTCTCAGGCGGGAGCCCCCTCCCTATGGGGCCCGCAGATCATGTTACTAATCCAAGCGGGTCATCGGATTCCTGTAACTGTCGTCAATTTTGGGCTCCTCAGGTCTGAATTTGGAGGAAATATCAGGCGGGAGCCTCGTTTGTCAGTGAATTGCGAGCAAGTCTCAGGCGGGAGCCCCATCCCTATGGGGCCCGCAGATCATGTTATTAATCCGAACGGGTCATCGGATTCCTGTAACTGTCGTCACTTTTGGGCTCCTCAGGTTTGAATTTGGAGGAAGTATCAGGCGGGAGCCTCGTTTGTCAGTGAATTGTGAAGACGCGTCAGGCGGGAGCCCCCTCCCTATGGAGCCCGCAGATCATGTTACTAATCCGCGCGGGTCATCGGATTCCTGTAACTGTCGTCACTTTTGGGTTCCTCAGGTCTGGATTTGAAGGAAATATCAGGCGGGAGCCTCGTTTGTCAGTGAATTGCGAGCAAGTCTCAGGCGGGAGTCCCCTCCCTATGGGGCCCGCAGATCATATTACTAATCCGAGCGGGTCATCGGATTCCTGTAGCTGTCGTCACTTTTGGGCTCCTCAGGTCTGAATTTGGAGGAAGTATCAGGCGGGAGCCTCGTCTGTCAGTGAATTGCGAGCAAGTCTCAGGCGGGAGCCCCCTCCCTATGGGGCCCACAGATCATGTTATTAATCCAAACAGGTCATCGGATTCCTGTAGCTGTCGTCACTTTTGGGCTCCTCAAGTTTGAATTTGGAGGAAGTATCAAGCGGGAGCCTCGTTTGTCAGTGAATTGCGAGCAAGTCTCAGGCGGGAGCCCCCTCCCTATGGGGCCCGCGGATCATGTTATTAATCCAAGCGGGTCATCGGATTCCTGTAACTGTCGTCACTTTTGGGCTCCTCAGGTCTGAATTTGGAGGAAATATCAGGCGGGAGCCTCGTTTGTCAGTGAATTGCGAGCAAGGCTCAGGCGGGAGCCCCCTCCCTATGGGGCCCGCAGATCATGTTATTAATCCGAGCGGGTCATCGGATTCCGGTAACTGTCGTCACTTTTGGGCTCCTCAGGTCTGAATTTGGAGGAAGTATCAGGCGGGACCCTCGTCTGTGAATGAATTGTGAGGACGCGTCAGGCAGGCCTTCCTATGGGTCCCGCAGCTCACGTGGTTCCTCCGGGTCATCCTCCGGCGCGCGCTTCCTCTGGGTCGTCCTCTGGCGCGTATCGGCTGGGACGCACGTCGTGCGCTTCCTCTGGGTCGTGTTCCGCACGAGGACGAGGAGGAGGAGGAGGATTGCCAGGAAAAGGAGGAGGGATGATGCAGGACGAGACAGGAAAGCAGGAAGAGGAAGAGGCTGAGGGGAGGAAGGACGAGGAGGAAAAGGAGGAGGAGGAATGCCCGAGGAGGCCCCAGTAGGTCCCGGAAGGCCCAGAAGGCTCCAGGAGGCCCCAAGAGGCCCCAGGAGGCCCCAGGAGGGGGCAGGAGGCCTAAGGAGGAGGCAGGAGGAGGAGGAGGAGGAGGAGGAGGAGGAGGAGGAGGAGGAGGAGGAGGAGGAGGAGGAGGGAAACGAGGAGGAGGAGGAGGAGGAGGAGGAGGAAGCGGATGAGGGAGAGGGAGAGGAGGAGGACAGGGGATGAGGAGGAGGAGGGAGAGGGAGAGCAGGAGGAAGAGGCAGGAGGCAAGAGGGGCAGGGGGAATGGGGGGGAGGAACCATAACGAGGGGGAGGGGGAGGAGGTGGAGGAGGCAAGAAGAGGAGGAAGAGGCAGGGGTTGAGGCAGGAGGAGGAGCAGACAGGAGGAGAACGAGGAGGCAAGAGTAGGTGGGAGAAGGGAAGGGGCAGGAGGATACCCCCATGCAAGCTAAAGAGATTCTCACGTGGGGTCTTTCCGTCGGAGTAATTTTTCGCAACGCACCCCTCCTCTCCCCAGTGGGGCCTCCCCAGCGCTCCCCAGTGGTCCCCAGCGCCCCCCAGTGGGGCCTCCCGGGCCGCGCCCAGTGCCCCCTCCGCCCCGACGATTTTATTTTTCGCGACGCACCCCTCCCCCCCCCCTCCCAGTGGGACCTCCCCCCAGTGGGACTCCCCAGCGCCCCCCAGTTGCCCCCAGCGCCCCCCAGTGGGCCCCCCCCAGCCCCGACGATCTTATTTTTCGCGACGCACCCTCTCCCCCCCCTTCCAGTGGGACCTCCCCAGCGCCACCCAGTGGTCCCCAGCGCCCCCCAGTGGGGCCTCCCCAGCCGCGCCCAGTGCCCCCTCCGCCACGACGATTTTATTTTTCGCGACGCACCCCTCCACCCCGCGCAGTGGCGCACTCCTCCCCCCCCAGTGGGACCTCCCCAGCGCCCCCCAGTTGCGCCCACCCCAGCCGCGACAGGGCCCCTCCGCCCTGACGATTTATGTTCGCGACGCGCCCCCCCCCCCCCCCCCCCCCCCCCCCCCCCCCACCCACCCCCCCCCCCAACCCCCTTTTCCCCCCCCCCAGCCCCCCACCCCCCCCCCCCCCCCCCCCCTCCCCCGCCAATTCTTGCCCGCGCTTAGTCGTTAACACGTTAACTTTTTCGCGTTCCCCCGCCCGCCCTCCGACAGTAGCCGGCAATGGAAACCCAAATGCGCGACGCTCGCGATGCGCGCAAGGTGCGCCAGGCACACGACGTGTTTCAACATATGCTCTTTCTCTTTATTTTCTTGCTTCTGTCTCTGATTGTAGTTCCTTTGTTCCTTGTAGTCGTGCGCAGTATGTTTTGCCATTTTCCTGCCTACGGTTCCCTATCTAGGCTATGCCTAGAGGGCTCTTACTCACTTTGCTAAAGAGGCCGGGCAGTGGAACTCGCCCTGGGCGGTTCCCCCGGTTGCGCCCCTCTGGTTCCCCCGGCTGCGCCCCCTGGGTTAGCTTAGCTTAGCTTAGCTGAGCTGAGCTTAGCTTAGCTTACCTTACTTGACCTTACCTTACCTTAGCTTATCAGCTTAGCTTAGCTTCGCTTCGCTTCGCTTAGCTTAGCTTAGCTTAGTCGCTTAGCTAAAGCAAAATCAACTGCAAAAGCACCATGAAAAGCGAAGACAAACGCAAAAACAAAGCAAAGCACCAGGCAAAAGGAAAAGCAACAACAAAAGCAACACAACAAAAGAGCAAAGGCAAAAGTA